ACGGATGACTGCCAACAAGAAAAATATAAAAGCAAGAGAAAAACTAAACCCTAAACAGTATCATATTTATAATAGAGATAACTGGTGGTTGGTGCAACCATCAAACCTAAGTAGGGCCGACCAGTTAAGCCTCATTGCTGGACCGGCCAAATCCTTATTGTATAGGGGGAGTAGGTTCAACACTAGCCCCCACGTCACCACATCTCTCAATTCATAAAATCAGAAAATAACTATCCTCCAAAACCCTATTATAACATAAATATAAGATGCCTCAAAATAAATACTTAATTAGAAATTAGGGAAATATGCAAGAATAAAAAAAGGAAAAAAGGAAGGAAACTTGCTAAAGAAATAAAAGAAATAAAATAAAAAGATTGTGTTCAATCTCTTGCAACCTGCGTCCCTGCATTCCACGGCTTCTGTGATTCCCTAGTCAAGGAATAGACTCTTCGCATTATTCTCCCGGGCTAGGAGAAGTGTTTGCTTTTGCCGACCGACTTGGATCCCACAATCAGGTGTTCTTTTCCACAAAACACCAAAAGAGATTTCCAGTGATGTGGTTCACTCCTCTTATATAATCATCTGTTGATGGGTGTACTGTTGAACTAAATTAGAAATTAGCACCCGGATTACTCTACATAGCTTTCCAGAAATAGCTCAAAAAATTCTGATATCTGACATATTGAACCTCTTTCGGATCTGTCAAGTTAGGAGGTATATTTTATATCTAAAAATCTTAAAATTCTATTATCTAGGTTTGCCATGTGTCCAATGTCGACTCCTCGAACTCACTAATCCCTTAGACACCCAATGTTAGACCTTTATGCTTCACTTAACACCTCTAAAAGGTAGTTTCTAATGACAAATTCTTAAGACCCTATAAGAACGCCCATTACTTGGGATTCCCTACCTTCTAGGACAACCAATAATAATCTTGTCAGTATCACATTAGCTTAGCATGGATCACTAACATCTCTCCAGCATCGGCTATAAGCTAATACTAATCCACATTCTCCTCCTCTAAGTCTTTACAATGTGCCTCCTCTACTGCATCCTGCTCAATGAAAAATAATATTTTCAAGATAAGCAATTTGAAGTAATGCGCAAAAAATCATTGCAATTAAAGAACTTCCTAGCTGGGACGGATTTGAGCGTGCTAGAGGTCTTCACCTTACCTCCACTCTGAAATAGTTTTTCCTCTAATAAAGTAGGCTAGGATATTCGACTGTGTACTCCAGTCGCTTGAACATGTAATTGAACTATACATGTAAGATGTGATGGTCAACTAATGACGGTGTTATTACCTTAACTTTAATACTAGGGTTTGTACATCAAGTAGAGACCAATACGGCTGCAATTGAACCGCATCACTGATAGATGACCTCAGTACTCCAAGATATATTGTCAGTGTGTGCTCCTTTGATTCCACCAACTCATATTTCAACATGAGTTGATCAAAGTTAGTTGTGTACTCCCCACAAAAGTGTAAAGTTATAAACACATATTGTCAGTAATATGAGGGAATGTATTTTCACTATATCTCCATTTTCATCTTAGACCACCTGGTGAGCTTACTCTTCCCTTCTCGCTGTTGAATACTCTACAAGTTCTCTCACCACAATAACACCTTTTTTTCCTAAGCTTGAAGGCTGCTATTTTAACACTCTTATGCCGAGAAACATCCTTGTACTAAAAAATTGCTCCACTATTTGATGCCACTTAATAAACTCATCTAAATCTATGCAACCATCAAAATCCAGTAAATCTATCTTTACTCCAAGATCATGGCTTCTCTGATATTCCATGTCGAATAGTCGAGGTAGTGATTCTTCGTCACCAAAAAACAGCCTCGTGAAAGGAATTCGCTTATTCCTCTCGATTTGGCGAGTCACCATTGTGAAAACTAGTGACCTCACTGGATTGTCTAATCTTAGAGCGACAAGACTCTGTTGCATTGAAAATTTCTTACTGCATATCCTCCATGATGATTTCTTGGATGCCTTGTTGAGGGATTTTCCATGGCGGCATGATGTCTGTTTCTTCTAACAGAAGTTTGATGGAAAAGAAAAAAGTGAAAGTTTTTTTGAGGGCTAAGGTTTTGAAGGAAAGTGTTTGGGCGAATTTTTGGTGGACGCAGAAAAGTAGGATTTTGAAATTTTATGGTTGGTGCTAGGAATTGCGTTAGGAACAGTTTTGAGTATGGTGGGAAATTTTTTTTCTTTTTTTGAATTAGGATTTAGGGCAAGGAAGACAAAACCCTAAAAACCTAGGGCTTGCTGGCTCTAATACCATAGGACACAGTTCTAGGGCTCCTCTAATGTATTTAGGCTGCGGGTTTTATGGTGAGATAGTTGCGGAATGTCAAGGAAATGACAATAGGGATTTTCAGTGGCATTGGGAAGGATGTAAAAAACATGTTGTAGGACAGCTGGTTTGCCAAGTGCGACAGCTTTCCGAACTAAAAGCAGCAACCCAATGGCAATTGGATTTACAATCTGCCTGACAGAGAACTGGAATCGATAAAAAAGCTGCTTCCAGCTGAAAACAGCACATGATAGCAAGTTTGGACGGCAGTTAGGCAGTAAAACAGCAAGCGAGTGACAAAACAATGACATGCAGACGTCGAGGGAATTCCAGCACATGTTCCTCGGTAGGTTACAATAACACCACTTGCAATAGGAAAAGGCTACAACACTTGGAAGAGCAAAAAATGAAGAATCACATCTCCCAATTCATAAAATCAGCAAAAATTATTCTCCAAAACCCTGTATATATAAGAACTATAAAAGAAGAAACAAAGGAAGAAAAAGTGTTAAAGAAATAAAGGTAACAAAATAAAGAGGAAATAAAATAAAAAGGATGTCTTCAGTCTCAAGCGTCCTGGTCTCACAACATTCTACGGCTTCTGTGATTCCACAGTCTCGGAATACTCTTCTCATCATTTATTTTAAGCCACATGCAAATATTTTCCAATATGGCCATTGGGGAATTAGCACAATTCTACTTATCCGTGGCACTACATGTGACGTAAATTACCATATCAATTCCTGATTTTTTCATGATTTAGCGTAAGAAGACTGGAGAGTCTCTTCCTTTACTTTTCACTAGCAACAGTCCTAGAAAAAGTTTATGTTAATTGTAGCTTAAGATCAATATTGCACTCTTGATTTTATACTTTCAAATTAGTAAACCACAAAAAAGAATATAAAAGCAAACATATAAATTTTTGAAATATCTAAAACAAGAAAAAAAAATGTTAAAGAAGACAGCCGGGCACCACACTTTTATTAAAATCATTAAATAATATAAAATATCATCATCCTTACTGAAAGAAATATAAACCAAAAATAAAAATAAAAAACAGATATTTGATGGATTAATCAAGACCCATTAAAACCTCCTTATCACTAAAATTGAAGGATTGTGTTAACTTAAAATCTTGCAAAGTGAAAAGAAAAGAAGAAGACAACTTGGTGTTGAGTTCCTTTCCCTTAACAACTAAACCAAGGAATTGGCACTCTAAAACTTGTATACAATATGCAATCTAGGTATGATAAAAACATACAACAACAAAAATTTATCCCACTAAGTGGGGTCGGCTAAATGAATCATTTTTCTCCATTGTGTCCAATTGGAAAGTCATATTTTCATTTAATTTTAATAAACTAAAATCATTTTTTATACAAATACCCCTCTGCCTTTCTTAACATAAGTCGAATGTAAACCATCTACACTCCTAATCGGATCATCAGATGGTCGATGTTTAATGTGAGAAGTTAAATTTAGAACTAATAATAATGAGAAGTTAAAATAATGCAACTCTTCATAATTAACTCACAAAGAGTATTCTTTATTTTACAGTTCTTCATCTTATAATCTAGAACTAATAATATTGAGAAATTAAATTTAGTTGTCACGATCATTTAGGGGTTGTATGGCAACGTATTATATTTAAGTTATTAGGATTTAGTAAATCCTGTAAATTCGGATTTAGTAAATCCTGTAAGAGTTAAATCTAAAAGGCTGTTTGAAAACGGATTTGATAAATCCAGCTAAATTATGTCAACCTATTTGGCAACTTATATTTAGATTTAAAAGTTTATTACGTTTGTTAGAATAAAAAATTATATATTATTTTATTATTATAATAAAAAATAATTATTAAATTTGATTAAATTCAAATTCGAAATAATTCTAATTATACTAATTAATAACTAGAGATTTATTAAAGTAATTGATTACTAATTTAAAAATCATTAAACTAATTACTTTTTAAATAATAATTTAACATTATTTTAAATTGCTTAGTTATTAATTATATTAACTAAAAATTAATTAAATTTTAAAGTATTTTTATTCATTAATTAACTATTAAATAATTGTATTTAAACTTATTTAATTACTATTAATTTAATAATTTATTCACTATTTATTAATTATTACTTAATTAAAACAATAAAATTAACTTGAATAAAAAAAATAAAATCACAAACTTATCTTCTCTTCCCCTCTGTGCCCGAAACACTTGCCTACTTCACTCCACCTCTCCCGGCTTCCAAGTTTCACACAAAACCATCTCCTTCGTGACCAAACCCTCACGATACAGTTGCGAATAGAAATAACTAGGAAGGTAGCGACAGGATCGCAGTGTACAAAGACCAGAAATTCCTATCTTTCTCCTCTTTGCCTTTTGTTCCTACTGAAAGCTAACATCAAATCTTCCTTTTCAAGAAAAAGCATGTCTCGAATTTACAATTTGCCGATTCACGAGATTTAGTAAATCTGGGATTTAAGGCCTAAATCCGTGAAATCTGGAATTCTCAAATCTGCAGCTTTATTTTGTCCATAATGACCGTTGGCAAGATTTAGGCTAAATCCCGCTTAAATCCTGCTCTAAATCCGTTATCAGACATGCCCTCGGGATTTATCAGGAAATACACTAAGAAAAATCCACATTGTTAAAGCTCGAAAGGCAAACAATAAGATAAAATATAGCATACCACATGAGTGAACTCATGGAAGAGGCATATGACATCAGAGAACCGCAATAGGGCCGGGCACTCATCAAATTGCTTTGGACAATGAGATATTAGTAAGGTAACAGGAATCTGCAAAAGAAGAAAATGAAAGCAAAACAAGTCATTGATTGCAGCTTTCAATATGCTGATGTGACAATATCCTAAATCTGAAAATGAAAAGTGTAAGGAATTCGAACATATTTGATGTTTAACCACAAATACTACAAATGACTATGGACTCCAAAAATTTGCATCCTTGAAAAGTTTCTTTTTTATTAGTATGTCAACAAATAAAGAAGAACAGATTATGCTATTAGGCATGAACAACAAGTAGTCTATCATCTCAATATTAAGCAAAAAGAGAACATACTTTAACAATTTGTCAAAGAAAAAAAACTCTAGAGTGTGAGCTGGCCTCAAATAAGTGCGGCTCTTTTATGAGAGTAGTTTCATGTTAAATGTTTAGTGTGCAAATTTGGTAGCAAATAAGCTAATACTTAAGAGTTTGTTGTCATTTTGATAGGACTTTATGAGCTGATTCAACATTTCCCACAGATGCAAAAACCTATGGATAATTACCTCACCTAATTGCAAGAGAACGCTTTCATTTAAGACTAACAGATTATATGTACATAAATTATAGTAGCAGCAATTTAGTTTTAAGAAAAAAAAAAGAAAAGTCATTAACTTAATGCCAATGGCAGGTGAATGATGAAAAATCAAACAAAGATCTCATGATTCTATCATCCCAAATTTTCATGAATATTAGTCTAATTAGCCAAAGGATATAGTGTGAACTTGACTCAGGAGCCATTATCAATAGACTGCAATGCATTATTCAAAAAAAAAACTTTATAGAACTTCGTAGATATTTGGCCAGAAGGATACTTATAAACCAACCTAAGCTATAAAAGGTTTTATGCCTGATCAAGTGCAATTCAACTGGGGGGGGGGGGTGGGGGGGGGGGGGGTGAACAATTAGCTTACTGTCAAACTTTGTTAATAAAAATTACTTAATAGTAACACTTTGCAACATTTAACTGGAAAAAAAATAACACTTCACATCCTTACTAATATGAGATTTGGAGAGTTAATTATAAAGATACATTTGATATGACAGACTCTTTGTGAGTTTTGATTATCTTTAACTCGTTACTCAAAACAAATTAATGCAAAAAATTGCTGGATAATTGTTTTAAGCATAAAACAATAGAATTTTCTTGAATATTTATACATATCGTAAATTTTTGAATTTTCATATTTTTTTGTGACAATATAGGCAGAAAGCATTTTACTTTAACATTTGATGACATTTTGCAAATATCATCTCTCCGGATGAGGTAACACAATCATCATTGTCAATGCTTGCTTGAGATATTTGTATTTGCAACGTGAGCATTTAATTTTTGAAAATGGACACTCCTTGAAGGTGAAAATGGACAATCCGGCTATGATATACACTAGCTATATCATTTTGAAAAGGCTCATCTTCCGGCTATGATATACACTAGCTATATCATTTTGAACCTTTTTGACACAGTTTTATCGTCTGAAAAGGCTCATCTGTTTATGTGTTCACATATAACTTGAATTCCTTTAAATAATCTTTATATGACAAACTTTATCAAATCTATTCCTATTTTAAAAGACCCTGGTGATACCAAAAAAAAGAAGCATTGTAAAAAAAATTTTAACCAAAGACATTAAGGGCCTAATGCAACGTAAACCAATTAATTTTTTAAAACAAGTGTTTAATTTGCAGTCTGTGATGTTAAGAGCTCGTTGGATTAAATGGTAAGGGAAGAATTTAAATTTATTCTTTAAAAAAAGACTTATCAATGCCAACAACAATGATTTGGAGAATAGATTTAAGAAGCGAAACTTAAGGCAATATCCTATAGGCAAGACAATCCGCTCAAGGGCATGCAGACGCATTCTCAATTATTTTTAAACTTGATAAGGGAGTTTGTGAATTATCAAAATGATTGGAACTTTTTCTAAAATAGTTGCACGTTATTTAGAGTACTGAATAATTTAAGTTAGTTTTATTTTAGTGTGACAAATTTTATAATTTTAGGTTTAAACCTTGGTATGTTTACCAGAGTGCATGGACATAAACATTGCTTCTAAAATTTGAACATCACTTAAAAGCACATTTTTGGTGCGTTTACATGAAATTTAAGTTGTTATATTTGATTTGAAAATCATATAGCAGTATGAGTACATATTTTGAAACTTCATTTAAATCATTTAGAACTTTAACGATTTTGGTCAGTGTCGGCACTAAAAGAAAGTTAAAAGAAAGTTTGGGGGATCGCCCGTAAGAAGCTGTCGGCAGCCGGAATTGAAATCTCATCGCCCGCTTCGGAAGGACGTTTCAATTTATGTATATATATGTATATAATTTTAGAAAAATATGAAATTAAACTGACCTCATATTTTTCATAGTTTAAATGAAAGAGCACTCTACCTCAAATCCTGTATATATCCCGAGGGATAAACACAAGACTTGAGGGTGAGGCTCAATCAAATAAATT